AGTGTCAAACCATTTTTGATCGAGATGATGTTTATTTGATGAGTAATAGAAAAAATCTAAAATGGTTTGCTTTTTCGAACCTTTATTCTCGAGAATCTGCTGGATTTTTCAACAGAAAGATGTGGTCTTCCTCAGGTCACATGAGAAAAAATCCAATTTCGAGTTTCGAGTTCAAACTTTACATGAACAAAGTTCTCAGTGTGATTAATTTATCTTGAAATACTCAATATTCGAAATTCTTTTATGTGTACATATATTAAGGAAGTAATAGAAAAGCTAAAACTTGTACAATCGACTAATTTCATTAAAAAATTTATTCGTGCAAAGTTTAAATTTGATTTTTCATGCGACTTGAAGAAGACTATAGTTTTTTGTTTAAAATTTCGAGTAAAAGTTCGATATCTCAAAAATCGAAGGTCAGAAAAACTAAACCATTCTAGATTTTTCTTGTTACTTACTAAAATTTATCAAGTGAGCATCATCTTGATTGAAAAACGAGTTGACATCTGGAGAGACTCTCTCGTAAGAATCCTTGTTACAAGTTGATTGTAATTTAGAATCATCAAGATAAATCTCGTGCAAGGATAAAAATAAGTTTATTTTTTCCTTTCTCTCGTATTATTATATATACATTTGCTTGTCATTGTGAAGGTAACACATAGGCAACTATATTTCTATGCATATACAATATTTTATTCACGTATTATTTTATATGTATTTCAAAGTAATTCATTTTAATGATATTGAGAGGATACAAAGACGTAGTTCTGAATCGGAGTGACAATCTCATTCAAAGTTCTTGCTCGATTGATCGATCAAGCAATCAATACACATAATATCAGACATATACTCATCATCTGCAGCATTATTGTATATCATAATAACGGGGTTGGTATTGTGTACATGCAGAGTTCGAACAGTCGGATAAGAAGAACTTTGAGTGAAATTGCCGTCTCAGTTCAAAACTGCATCTTTGTATCCTCTCAATATCACTAAAATGGATTATTTTAAAATAAATACAAAATAACACGTAACTAAAAATATAATATGCACCCACACATGTAATCGTCTGTTACCTGTTCAATGACATATAAATGTATATATTATATTACAAGAGAAAGGGAAAAATAAACTTATTATTGTCCTTGGGTGACTAGACCAATAATTTTACTTTTTACGTTTTTTTTTTTTTTTGTATAAAAGACTACAGATAGTTCCCGTATTACATGTTTATTCGCAATACCGCTGCTATATTGCGGTACTCGCAGGAACAGACAATATCGCTGACGAATTTTAGTTCCAGTTATAAACGATTGCAGAAAGTGTTTTCTATCGCAATTCGAATTATTTATTAGAAAAAAATTTAAATTAACCGAGAAGAAAATAGTTTCAGAATATATTTTATTAATAAAAATTTATCTCATAACCAGAGTCAATTTGAGCTCTGTGGTTATCAAAGGTGATTCCAATACATCAACATTAATCAGACTGCATCGAAATCGTTTCAATTCTGTTAGTTTTGACAGACTTCAAAAATATTCACCTGTTTTGATACAATACATACTTTCAAAAAAAAGCCAGTGGTAGTTATCACGTGGAATACCGTTTTATAGAGAAATGTTTGCTCTTTTGTTTGCTGTATTTTACACAATTTTTGCTTCTACTTTGGATAAGTTTTGCCATGCTGAAGCTCGTCCGAATTCAATTTATGAAGGTTGATTTATAAATTTGAAATCAAAAGTTCTAGAAAAATTTTGAAGCCATACTCGAAAATAACACAAATACAAACCCAATATTTTCAAATTTCTGCTAGTTCTTTTAAGAGAAACGAGCATTTTGTTAAATTAACTGTTCGACAATTCGTTAGAAGAAATCAAATCTTGGATATTCTGATGGTAATAATCAAAGAAACTTATTATTTCTTATTCGTTTGCAGGTAGTGCAGTGTACAATTCGTCAAAATTCAATATTTTCTTTTGTGCCTAACGGTACAATAATGTTGTAGTTGATCCATACACTATATGAATATTATTGATGTAGTCTTTTCAGACAATTGTTAATTGTTTTTCTATTCGTCGGAATTAAAAAGTAATGTGACAGATACAATTTCAAAAAAATTTTTTTTTTTGGTTGAATCTAAAATATATTTGAAAACAATTCGTCTCACAAAACCCTAACTGGATATTATAATATTTTATACCATACGCCATTTACTATCTCTTGTGCTTATAATCTATTAATAATTATCGAAGCACAAGGTATGTTAGTTCGTGTCATATGATAAAAAGTTATTGCTTTGTAAATTTTTCATATCAAGATATTTGCAACTAAAAATAGCATATGATGTTGAATCATGTTTTACATACATATTTTTTTTTGCAAAGAAAAAAAACGACTAATTTAGATATTTTATACAAGACTTTCGTCTATTTCTGTTTTTTTTTAAATCAATATATAAATTTCTTATCTATCTAGATGATAAAATGTTTTATGACATCAATGAGTTATCAACATAACTGCGTTAAATTATTATTGTGTATATTAAGCAAGTTCCTTTTTTTGTTTGTTAATCAGAATGTATAATAAGATAAGATTTTAATTAGAACAAAAAAAATTGATTTTATTGAATATTTTACATTTGAATTAGAATTTTATGTTTCTACAAATTGAAATATATATACAGTATTGATTTAAATTAATATCTTTTAGAAAATTGAAACAACACATATTTCTATGAAATCTTTTCTTTCTCCTCTAGTGATAATATCACATAAGGCTTTTTTTTTTGTTTATGCACATTGATAAAGATAGTAAAAAAAGAAATAAAGCTACTGAGCGTTTTATGTTTTACCATGCATAAAGAAAAGACAATGCATGATGTTATCATTATTTATCATGTATATGAGACTCTCTTATCTTTTTTGCTAAGATCATTGTGGAGAAGGCGTCTACATTGTATATATTTAGAGTGATTATTACCGTAGCAACTCATTTCAAGGCACATTTTCTAAGTAAGACGTCGTTATTTAAAGTAAATTTAAATTTTAGTTGTTTCATCAAGATATATGATACTTAAATTCGGTATGACGTAATATCTTTTATCACGAATCGTTATTACGTTTTTTATTTTATTGTAGCAGCTATATTCGCTATTGGACTATTCATAGTCTTACATATTAATAGTCCAAAAACTAATTCTACTGTTGTACGTATTGTTTGATATAGTTTAATTAATAAACTATGTTTCTTTTTCTAAAATGAAGCATGTAATTTTGTCAAATGAACAATCAGTTATACAAGATACAAGACAACAAATAGGGTTAGTGAAAAATATTGATTAAATTGTCTTCAGAAAATTTGAATGAAATAAGTAAAATTATTTTATAAAAATCTATGAATTTCTAAAGAATAAAATTCACGTATTTCAATTTCGACTGTTGATAACAGGAAAAAAAATACACATATTTACCAGATAAATTTAGATTCACTTTATTATTCAAACAAATTTTTATTAAAGAAAAAAAAAATTTTTGAATTTTGTATAATAGAAAATGATATTTATCTATGGGTTTCTCTGCTTAATATTTCATTATGCATATATTTTTCTGTAGAAGAATTTCAGAAGAATCGATTCAATAATTTGAAGATCACTTGCAAAATCATTCTAAATTCTACACCATTTCGACTTCTTTTTTTTCGCATCATCGTTGTATTTCTTTCGTGATTAGTTATCAATAAAAATTGAAAAGAATGTCTCATGAGTTCTCGGTCTCAACGAAAATTAGTTTATACGTGAACAAAGAACGATCCCTATTCAACTATAGGGTGTTAAAAAACCTTTACGTCCCCCCCTAGGTTCGACCTTAAGGTAAAATGATTTCACTAAGTATTTTATACCAAATTGAAGCCCGTAAAAAACTGCATTTATTGGTACTAAATAGTAATGGTTATGAAGACGTTTTAATGTCGAACTTATGAGATTTTCAGAAATCTGATATCTTTTTTGGTGTAGAAGAGTAAGATGCCAGTAATTCAAATACGACATAAATCAATTTTTCTTAGATATTTTTACATGATTCGATAGAACTCGACGAGCTCTACAAAACTATATATTTCAAAAATACTTTGAGCCATCGTTTTGTGATAAAAAGTTCAAAAACTGCTTGGAAAACCAAAAAAACATTTGAAAACTTTACTTTTTCATATGGAAGAAAAACACTCGACTTTTCAATAAAATTAAGTTTCATTGATTATTTTTTCCTGTCTTAGACGTTTCGAAATGCACTCATTCGATGCAATTTTTCACGCGGTATCGAATGAGCACATTTCAAAATGTCTGAGCTAACATAACTAATGGAAAAAACTAATATTATTGAAAAAGTTGAATGCTTTTTTGCATATGAAAAAAAGATGAAATTTTTGACACTTTGTTTGATTTTCCGTGTAGTTTTTCGAATTTTTTATCACAAAAAGATGGCTCAAAGTATTTTTGAAATATATAGTTTTGTAGAGCTCGTCGAGTTCTATCGAATCATGTAAAAATATCTAAGAAAAATGTTTTTTTGTCGTATTTGAATTACTGGCATCTTACTCTTCTACACCAAAATAGATATCAAATTTCTGAAAATCTCATAAGTTCGACATTAAAACGTCTTCATAACCATTACTATTTAGTACCAATAAATGCAGTTTTTTACGGGCTTCAATTTGGTATAAAATACTTAGTGAAATCATTTTACCTTAAGGTCGAACCTAGGGGGGCGTAAAGGTTTTTTAACACCCTGTATATCTATATGAGCTTTGAGTACTTAAGACAATGTTTTAAATGACATATTTTCCGATGATATTATCTCTATTAATAATAGTGATTATTAAAATCTTGAAACCGATCATCATTATTTTCTACGATCAAAAACAAATTCAATATATTTTTTAGTATTTTGAAATTAGAGAATCCTTCTCCTCATACTTTTTCTTTTAATATTTCCTATACATGTTCAATGGGTTACACATTTGCAAATTTGACATCTTCATCTTCAGATGAAACTGTTACAATAAATAATTCATCAATAGTTCGTAATACAAATTTTGTTCTATATTTTGAACCTTGATCGTCTTGAAA